TCTAAGCGCTGCGTAAATGGATCCAGCTTGCTTCCTCTCTGCTAATAAGACATGACATTTCCTCCAAAAACTGATTTTTAATGCTGCTAAAGGCTCTTTCTTCAGCTCATATCTAATTGATGGCTGCAAGAAATTAGCCAGCAGCCAGTGTCTAGCATAAGTAATAATAATACAAAGTTGATGTCTGTTTTATCAAAAGCAAATCTTCTCTGCATGTTTTCATCCTTCTCTCCATTTCTTTCATTCTTTTTGTTGTTCTTTTTTCTTCTGAGGAGGAGGAGGAGAGGTTTTTAACAATTTTTATGATTGGATGTGGTTTTTAGTGATTTTTCAGATGTGATCTGAAAGTTTGAGAGCTCCTCAGTTAGATGATCCAATCAGGAAAGAAAAACTATCACCCCCTGACTTCTCTCCATCCCATCACCTGAATTCTTTCCCTTGACTGCTCTAAAGCAATCCTGCTGAGAGCAATGCCCACACTCTGTAGGCACAAATATGTTGGTAAATCTGATTTGACCACATGTTCAGAAACTGTGATTATTCACAGTACGCTAAGTGCAAAGAGCTGAAAAGGGTAATTCTGCAAGAGTAACTGTTTGCAAGAAAATGACAGACCAAGGGTCAAGACAGAACTGGGCTCTCTGCTCAGCAGCACAGATAAGCTTTGTCATCTCAAGCAACTAAAGTTACACAGAGGTGAAGCTGAGATTGCCCAGACTCCTTGTTAAGCTTGAACCACTGGTGATAGCCTGTATGCATCTTTGGGCTATTACAGGCAAGTGCTGTTAATTTCAGGTTACAGATGTGCTAATGCTGGCTCTAGGACATAGTACTGACTCTACAAATGTTTAACAGATAGGCACAGTTGCTCTCATGGAGATTAACAACCAGGTTTGAAGTTGTTATTTTGCTTTATCTTTTTCTATTACTCTTCTGCTGTGTAATAGCTCTTTTGGTGTCTTTTTTAACATGTTTTTATAACAGTCACAGACTATTTTCTTTTTTCTTTTCTGACCTAAAGTTAAGCTAGCATTTTGTTTCTGAGTTCAGCTGAAGAGATAAATTTGAGCTTAACCTTTTCTGCTTGCTCTCTGGTCGCATCCTAATTGCAGTGAATTATTTTGTCCTTAAGAAATGCTTTGCACTCACCTCTGTAAGTGCAGAGTCTATTTCCATGTGCCCAGTCCATTAGGAATGGCTCCAGCTGTACAAGATAGCATTTTTATTACTACTTTTTATCTGCTCTCAAAGCTTGTAAGAAAACCGTATCATAAAAGCCATTGGGACAACTGCTTGTTTAGACTCCCGTCTTTATCTCCAGGTGACTCTTTTTGACTTGATTGGTTTGAAGCACAAATGATAAATCTAATCTGGCTTCAGTGGCTGAGTAAGTATCTGTTCACACAAGTTGCTCAGAAACACCAAAAGCCCACCAGCTGCCTCCCCCTTTTCATGACTCAGTGAAATGCTGCTGTAGGAGCACCTGGGATACTCAAATTCACGGGACTGCCGGTCTGCTCTTAACTTTTTTGCAAGACTGTGCTGTACACAGGGATTTATTCTCTGCTTTTGCACCCAAGATGAAGAAATTCACCACTTTGAAAGACTTAAGTGGATCACAGCCTCCCTGTAAAAAGGTGAATTTCACTCCAGCAGAAAAAGGAAAAGGCTTTTTAACCGTATCTCCACATTTGGTGACATCTGGGGAGACATGAGCATTCAAGAGGCAACATCCCTCTACGAATCAAGTCCCATGTTCTTCATGGGACAATTTCCCATGACAATGGTTACCCCTCTGACACCTTCCATGTTACTTGTACCATTTGCCTTAGGTGCCCAACATTTAGCTAAGCTGGTTTTGAACCCAAAGGAGCAAGATGGAGCAAGGACTTATTCATTCCACATATCTAAGTCACCTCCTTAGGAGGATCATCTCACTTTCTCCATTTTCTATAATGAAAGCATAAATAATTGGCCAAGACTAGGTATCAAGCTTTCAGATGAAGTGCATCCCCCCTTGTATGTACTCTGGCACATGTATTTGCCTTTGGGTTTATATTATGTGCACCCTTAAATCCAGAATCAGAAATAAGTATCCCTTGGCAACTCCAGGTAGAACCATGGCAGGTTTGCAAACAGTGGGCATCCAGAAAAGTCCAACACCATGACACATCTTCTTTCCACTGTTTCTCATGTTTTAACAGGAGGATTCAGTGAACCAGTGGGGCTGGTTTGATGAAATGGTGACAGTCAGCAGCCCAGGCTGGCTTCTACTGTGGTAGCATACAGCTGAGTCAGCCCATCCTGATTCTGGCTATCTCATATAACTATCTATTTCACTTAACCCATTTGGTAAACCAACCAAACCCCATCTTGAAATTAGTGGAAGTGTTTTGTACCTACTTCTTCATAATGAGAGGCTCTTCCAGAAATCCCCTGCACTGTTGTTTAACCACGTTATTCTCATTGCACATTGATTCATGATGGTCATGCTCCTCCTGACAGTGTTGTCTTTTAACTTTACCTTTCATTGGATGTTCACTCTTCCCCTTTTTCGTGCAAGCAGTCCTGGCCCCTCGTAGCCTTTATTTTCCTAGGGTCTGTCCCTCCTCTCAAGTGTAAAACCCATTATTTTATATTGAAAAAAAATAACTGATGCAAAATCAAAAGAAAGAAACCCATTGTGTCACTCTTCCTGCCTTACTAAAAATATCTGCATCTCCTCATCATAAGTGTCTGATCAAGATGCACAGCTGACACACGGTTGAGAAAATAACCAAAGAGATCATCAGGTTCATTTTGCCCTATCTGCACCTTCTGGAAGGGCTCTGATAGAAAAGCCAGATTTCCAGCTTCAGGACTCCCCTGACAAGGCACCAAAGAGGAAAACTGCAAAACTGTTTTCCAAGTTGATACTCACAAACCTGAAATGGGGTGTATTTGATGGACAAAGCCAGTGATGAGAAGGGATTGTTAGGTGCCAGACCACAACAGTGCGGCGTTTCTAAGTAGTAGTGCTACGGACTATGGGCTAAGTCCCTGAAGGCTCACCAAGAAATGGGGGGATTGAAACCATCTGAGAGAAGAAATGCAGATCTCTCCACCCCATGTCCTCCTTACGAACTGTTGTATGTTTTAACTGTCAGACCATCATTCCCATTTATCTGGGACACCTAATACTGAATGTGCGAGGTTTGGGTGGGAAATGCCTCTGCTGCTAGAGCTCATCAGCTCATTTGAGCACCTGTTAGGCACCATGTTGAAGCTGCTCTGAAGTGGGGTTGGAGAGCTTGTGTTCCTCATGTTTTGAGTATGCTTCACACTGTGCCTGAAGACAGGCCCCAGGTTTTTAAAGAAATAGAGAAAAGCAGTGGCTGTGCACCTTTGGACAGTTTCTTTCGACACCATCTTCCCTGCAGTCCCAGTGGTGATTATCGATACACCCAGGGTGGCTTTGATCTACCTCAGGTGCTGATAGCTGAGAATCTGTGTCAGCATGGGTTCCACACAGGCTGTGCAAGCTCATCCCAAGCCTTGTACAGTTGCCATGGCAGCTGATCTATGTTGAGGTCTACTCTACAACAGTTTCAGTGCTATTAATACCCAAGATTTATCCTGCTGGTGGAAAAATGGGGATAAGAGCACTCCTTTACTTTTGAGGGATGCAGCGAAGATAACGTTAAAGATTGAAAAACATTCAGGGTAAGGTATCAATATTGTCTAAATTTAGATAAATTTACAATATGGACATCTAAAGCAGAGCTAACTGTCTAGACTCTCTTTATAACTAACGAAAGGAAATAAATGTTTTTCATCTGACCACGGTAGCTGGCCTGCTGTGGACATCTGCTTTAGGAGGAGATGAACCATTCCCTTTGATCGTGCTGACTGGTTCTCTCCTGGTCAGGAAGAGAACTATGGATCAGTAGCTGAGGTGCAATGTCTACATTATATTACTTATAATCCCACCTTCTAAACAAATGTATTTTTGGCAAAGGAGGCCCTGGCTTGATATAGAGGTTGTATGTCAAAATGCTCTTTTTTCCAAGTTGATTGGATTTCAGTTTGGCATCAGAACATCAACATCCTTTCCAGCTGTCAAGAATACAACTACCCATGGGCTGTCCAAGAAGATGGGCCCAGATTAGTCTCACCTGATTTTGTAGGCTTACCTAGCTGCCGAGGTTAGGGGACTAAATTGATCTCGTCTCTACAGTAAGCAGAGATCAACAAGAATATCCAGAAAATGGTCAGAAGTTTTCATTTCAGGTTCTGACTTTGAGTCTTCTATGCCAATGACTTGGCAGGAATTGATTGCAGCCTGTGTTAGGACTATGTCAAGCATTCCCTTCCATTGTGTTTGAGGGTATGGTTCCTATCACCTGTCTTTCCCTTGAGTATTTCCATTATATTTGAGCTAGAGCTCCTGGGCTCTCTCTTTGATTCATGCACCAAAATAAGCACTTACAGTTCAAGATTCATCTGGCCTATTTGTAAGCATCTGCTTGATGATGACCTCCTGTTGACTGTAGCGTAGCTCTCCCCTGCCTGTACAAGATGCTCGCAGGGATTAGGTCAGGCGTGTCTATGGTGTAGACACCGGTGTTTAGTTAGATGATCTGTGATTCCCCTTCATACACAAGGGAAGAAGGAGCAACTTCAGGCTCTGTGATAGGTGTCTCTAAGACCTCCATCAGGTGCATCCATTTTGAGAGCTTGATTCAGTTGCATAAGTGTAGGCATTTAGTGGTGTTTGAAATGCTGTATGGGATTTAAAACATCAGATATGAGACATGAGATGTGTGAAACCCATGCTTTTTCCCAGAGTGCTGAAGAATATCAGGTGAACTAGATGTCCATGTTTAGGAGGCTGAATCAAGCCCTGCATGTTTCACTGGCTTGACACATATCATCATTTGTCTCAGAGCTCTCTAGTGTTCCTTTACAGAGGACACCCAAGTATTCTAAGGGTTCATGTTCTTCCCTTCTTTTTTCACCAGGTCCGTTCTGCTGCCAGGAAAAGGTGGCACCGCTGGCAAGACCATCACTCCCTTCGAGTGCGTGTGGCACGTGCCATGTCCATCCCCACCTCTCCGACACGAATCAGCTTCCACAGCATCAAACAGACCGCAGCCGTGTGATACGTCCTCCACAGACACGTGCAACCTGGTGGCCTTCAGGGTTCTTCTTTCTTCACTCTCCCCAAGGCCCTTTTCTTCAAACTTTCTTCCTTTATTCTGCACTGCTCTCTTTCGCAATGAGGTGCCCATCATATTTCTGTGGACTCTCATCGCCCATATTCGTGATGCTGCTTTAAGGCAACCAGGCAAAAGCCTCTTGGAGTAGGTGATGATGAAACATTCAAAGTAGAAAGAGATTCAACACTGACTACACCTCGTGGAAGTTCACAATACAAAGTCTAAAACAGCACACTGGCAGGAACAATCAATTTTTTTGTCCTTTCCTTTTTTTTTTTTTTGTGTTTCCCTTCCGTATTGTGGTGAACAAAGACTATTTTTAACATACTGCCCGCCTCACCCTGTACATTGATTCCCAATGATTTCAACAGTTTGGTGTATAGATAGCTCATCTCTTTCTTGTTTCTTTGTAAAAATTTATTCTCTGCAGAACTGTCGTTTGAGAACACGTCGGCAGCAAGAAAAAGGGCATCTGAATGGTGGTGTGAAAAATTCAAATTTACCTACCTTCCCCATTTTTCCCTTTGATAGACTGGGAGTTGGCCAGGACATCGCTGGACTGTTTAACACAGGGCACTTTGCCTTGCAAGAACCATGCCCTGTTCATACACAAAATTTTGAAAAAAACAGCAATATCTCTAGATAGGTCTATAAAATACCCTTATTCCTCTTAGCCCCATGCTTTCGACACAATGTAAGTAGCATTTGGAAAGTCTTTGGTTTTTTTTCAGCTAAGAGGATTGGGGAAGGACAACAGAACATGTTTTCCGGGTTTAAAAAATACAAAAGGGAAAAACTGTAAGAATAATAATGAGAAGGAGATGTTTTCATTATGAGGATAGTGCTACATGCTGCACAAAGATTATCTATTGAGCATTTTGAACTAGAGCAGATGTATCTACTAGGCTTTTTATGTGATGTTCAAAAATACTGTATATTTTCAGTAATAAACACTACTCTGGGTTGGTTTCAATAAAACCAGGCATCATTTTCTTTAATCTGGAAAAGAAGAGGACAACTATCTTAAGAATGGTTTTGTATCTAAGATCAGGGAAAGAAATCCTGTTTTATAATGAGCCAATAAGAAGAACAACCTCATGATAAAATCTGAGCAAGAGGGCATTTAAATGCAAGATGAATGGTTTCCCTTCTCAGCTCATGGTGTTACACTGGATCCCTGTCCCTCTGCTCTCCCCTTCCCTCCACTGGGCTTTGCAACAGCAGAAAAAAAAAAAAAAAAAAAACAAGTTTTATAATATATTCTCCATCACCTGTATCTCACCAGTGCTGGAATAATTTGCTCTTTCCACTTCAGCATGCTTATTCTGAATTTTATTCACATCTTTTAGAGGACTTTCCAGCACAAGCTGGATTAAAATCTCCAGGTTTAAATTGGTCTCTCTCTAGTTTTTAGGACTACACAAATGTTAGTCCCCTGCTTTTGGAGGCTAGCAGCTCCATCATATTCAATTTTGACCTGGCTGGCAATGCACTGAAAAAATAAATTAAAAAATTAAATTTAAATTAAAATA